CCTTAGGTGTATGTGGCTGGTGCCTTAGCCACTTGAGCCAGAGGCACAGAGCCACAATCATGGTTTTAAAGGGCATTCTTTTACTAGAGTCTCTCTCCATCCAGCCTTGGCTCTGGTAGGAGTCTTAGCCTTCTGATGGTTGGCCACAGGAATAAGAGTGTTGTAACATAAAGCGTTACTTTACAGATCACATTTTTTTCATTTAAATGAGCAATTCTGCTCTCATTTATGGCATATTGAAGAAGCGGGGAGATGACCCACTGTAGCAGGATTACTTACCATGCAGGCGGCCTGGACTGCCTCAGACACATTACCAGCATTGGGCTCACACCAGAAAACATGGCACTCAAAGCGCTGGTTCCCGGTGTCCATGATGAAGGCGAACGTGTGGACGTCCTTCCCGACCCCCATGAAGGACAGGAACCGCACTCGGCACTCCACTAGGACCTCCTCTTCACTCTGGAAGAGACACTGGTCAGCACCCTGCGCTCTCTGTGAAACTGGGCACAGTCACGAGCATTTTCACATCTTACACAAATGAGCCAAGCTCAGCGTAGCATATTTAGGAACTGGTATTAAAAAATATATAGCCAGGCTGAAATCATAAAGGACTTGTGCTTTTTCAGAAAGGCCGTCACTGCTAGGTGTCTCACTCTGGCAGGCCATTCTTGCTCTGAACCGCGCTGTTGTGGGATGTAACATGTGTGCTGTGGTCTGTCTCTCATACCAGGAGTCTGAGAGCTCGTAGTGGACCGGAATAATGTCATAGATACTTCTTATGTCGTGCCAAATAGGTGCGCCTGCCCAGGTGAGCCCCTGGAGCTTTAGGAGAAAAGGATTCCAGTCCCTCCCTTCACCCAGTTCTTACCCAAGTTAAAACAGCACATTCAATTACATTTCTATCTAAAACCATGTAAAACATAAAGTTGCCAAATCAACAAAAAGTTGTAAAGTCATTTCTTTTTCTTTTTCACAAGCTGGTGTCCATATGGCATCCAGCAAAGAAATGCTCAGAATCGGTACTATAGTTATGAATGCTGCATCCTTCCCAACAACCGCAGGCAATTTCTGGATGAGTAAATACGCCCAGAACACTGACTTTAGGACCATTAACATTTTGCCGTATTAAATAATCACTCACGTGCCAGGGGAGGTCTTTAAAAAGCAAACTACACCAGACTGAGAGGTCAGGGCATTTTCTTGGGAGGAAAGGAGCCTGAAGTTGAGAACTGGGGAAGGGCCAGTGTGCAGAGGGCGTGGCCCTGGCGACGACACAGAGGTAGGAAAGCGCGTGTGGTGGCTGAACAGAAGGAAGTCCAGCGTGGCAGGGCAGGGGGCGGGCACGCTGTGAGCACCCTACTCCTCTGCAGAGGATGCACTGGCCATGAACATGACCTGCTGCTGGCCAGAGGCAGGAGCAGGCCAGGTACGCATGGTCTTCCCATGACAGGTGCTTCCTGGATGCAAACACTAGACCTCCTCCCGCCAACTTGGGCAAGTTACTTAACCTCTCTGTGCTTCAGTTTCTGCAACCACAAAACTGGGATAATCGGGGTTGAGGCTAAGGCTGGCTTTCCTCACGATGGCCAACGGCCCCTTCTACCAACAGGACAAAGCACAGGACTTCTCTTTAGCACCTTCTGTGCCTCACCCAGACCACACAACTCAGCAACACTGACGCCCTCAGAGTGACTGGCCAGAAAACCAAGCCCTGTTAGGGAACTAGAGTCACACAATGACCTCCAGCAAAGGACTGCCCTCTCTGGGGTAGAAGAGGGAGACAGAATCACTCAGCAGCACCAGAACAGACGTCTCTACGTTCAGAGGAAAGCAGAGCCATGCACAGATTCAGACTCGAAGGGGAATTTTTTTTAAAAATGTAGGCCATTTTAGTCACGAGGAATCACAAGGAAGGACAATTTCCAAGAGGTCAAGTTTGGCCACGTTTCTCAGTCTCACAGCAGACTGCTGTACGCAAAGGTCACTGTGACTCAGACCGGTCAAGGTCATCCACGACTTGTTCTCACCTTTTCACTGATGACGGTCACGGTAGCATCAGCCACGCTCATGTTCACCGATGGCCAGTCCTCCTTGTTGGATGATGTCATAAGACTTTCTATGGCACTGTTCAGGGTGTCCATTCCTGTGGATGGACAGGGTAACTGAAAAGGTCCTAAAGCCATTTCTCACTCTGAAATGTCGGCCCAAATCACCCAGAGACAATCACACCCAGATCCATCTCTTTTGTTGTAGCCTCAGAAGAAACTTCATTCTCATATTTGCTCAGAAGAAAAGAAATGGCAAGTTTCTTCAACCAAAAGGCAGGTCACTAAACACTCCATCAGATCGCTGACCTGGTGTGGACCACCGCACTCCCACCTGTCTCCCCCACCACGCCTCACCCCAAACCCCCTTTCTACAGGTGGTGTGTGCTACTTAGTGCAGCCCCTTTCCTGGGTGATCCCACTGTGGATTTTCATGGGGGTACAGGGTGAGATAACTCTAAAGAGCTTTCATTCATATGCAATTCACACATATGAAGTGTATAAACCCATGGTCTGTAGTATATTCCCAGTGTCCAACCCAATAATAATTTTAGAACGTTTTTAGGACGCCCAGAGACCCTGTACCTCAGAGGAGTTACTTCCATTTTCCCTGAGCCTGACACCTCCAGGCAACTGCTTACCCACTTTCTGTCTCTAGAGATTTGCCTATTCTGGACATTTCCTATAGATGGAATTATTTGTGTACAGTCACGTGGGAATAACTTCTTTCACTGGGCATGACGATTTCAAGGCTCACCTACGCCATACTGCCAAATAAAATCCCATCATGCGGAAGCATCACATCTGATTCCTCCACCTATCAGCTGATGGACACCTCACATCTGATTCCTCCACCTATCAGCTGATGGACACCTCACATCTGATTCCTCCAC